CACGTACATCCAGCTGACGAAACGTGCATCCTACATTCCACTACTAGCCAACATCCATCTTGGCTTTTATATATAGTTATATAGTATGTCATTGAACATTCAATGAATTGTAGGATCTTTTGCTTCATTGTTATTGTAGATTTTAAAATACAAAAAAAATCTGGATAAATTTTTTTGTTTATCATTATAGTGATATCATTTATTTAACTATTGTCCAATATTTAAGGTTGAAAATGGACTCATATTGTTTCTGTTTCTATTCATTGTGATTATTCAGTGTATATCTCACCTAATCATATAGTATCATAATAGTAAAGAAGTCACCATCATTGGTATTTATTATAATTCTATATATATATATATATAGAGCTACATATCTATGTATTGTGGTTTTATAACAGTAACTACTTATTGTCAATATTGTTGATGTTATTCAAGTTAACCGGTGTTTATTAGATCTACTGTGTTAACTTGACTATGATTGTTTATCTCATTTGGATAATTATTGTTTACTTCCTATGGGAAAATTGTTTACAGATTTTAAATCTATGCTCATATGTTGTCTACTGATTTGAAAATAATGTACACGCAATAACAAATTTAGGAGATGACTAGTGTAACAGCAATCTCAACAGTAATAGGTATCAACATAAATGAACGGAAAAGTAATAACTTCCAATTCAACACAACATGCATCAATCAAATCACCCTTGATGGACAAGCTTTCGAGGGTGTAAAAATCTTCACATATCTGGGCAGCATCATTGATGAATACGGCACATCTGATGCAGATATGAAGGCGTGGATAGACAAAGCAAGAGCACCATATCTACCATTGAACAACAAATCGAACTCAAAACAACTATCCACAAGCCAACACCAATGTCAGAATTCTCAATACAAATGTCAAGACAGTTCTACTGTATGAGGCAGAAACTTGGAGAACTACCACAACCATCATCCAGAAGATACAAGTGTTTATTAACAGTTGTCAACTCAAAATACTTCACATCGATTTGTCAAACACTATCAGCAACAACCTAATATGGGAAAGAACAAAGCTGATTTCAGTGGAGTAAAAACTCAGGAAGATGTGCTGGATGTGGATAGAATACAAATTGAGGAAAGCACCCAACTACTTCACAATTTAAGCCCTTACTTATAATCTCGAAGGTGAAAGGAGAAGAGAAAGATCAAAGAAGACATTATTTCGATAAATGGAGAAAGGCATGAAAAGAATGAATAAAAATTGAATAGAACTGCAAAGGAAGGTCGAGTACAGAGTGAGTTGTAGAATGTTGGTCGGCAGCCTATATTCTATTATTTGTGATAGGCGTAAGGAAGTAAACATAGAATAAGTTAAATCACGCTATTATTCAAAGTATTATAATTAGTCAATAGTTTAAGTCATATATTTTGTTTAATTACGCTTTAGAGAGTTATAAGGTGTAAAGTAAAAGGTTTCAGGTAGATTAACCTATACAGATTTAGGATCTTCATTACCAAAAGGAGTATACCCAGTGGATGGTTTCGTGACATAACAGGAGTGAAATTATGAACTGTAAGCCTTAATGTACCCATGAACAACTCGATCCGTTTATTTAAAACCACCATTCACTTGCTTGTTTATCTCCTATGGGTGCGTTGTTCTTAAACCACTGCTCATGGGAACCTCTGTTTCATGTACCACAACTTACTTATACCCGTTATTCCTCATGGAATAGCGTGGGCCAACCACCAGCACTCTCCATTCAACTCTGTCCTGGAAAATCCTTTCCAGTTACCACTGATCCTTTCGATGTCTGCTTCCAATTCCAAACGTACTGTGTTCTTAGGTCTTCCACTTTTCCGTTTTCCTTCAGGATCACGTGTTAGCACTTGCCTTGTGATGCAGTTTGTTGATTTCTGTAATGTACCTCCTATCCAATACCAACGTCTTTTTCTAATTATTTTTAGCTTGAAGCTGGTTTCTCCTCTCCCACAGAAGGCTGTTGCTGATGGTATCCATTCGATGTAGATTGCGTATCCTGCCTTTCATAACAACCGGCTCTAATAGATGCCATTAAAGTCAAGTTCAAGCGCTCGAATGAACATTTGCAAGGTATTTGTCTACTTCCAATCTCCCATTAGAGATAGAGAAACTCTCCGAGTTCAGGATAACTATGATTTACTCATTAGCATGCAGTTGAGTTTCATAGGAACTGAGATTGATCCTTCTGTTATGCTCAGTTGATGTCTTGCGAAACGGCTAGGAGGGGCCGGATTGCTTTTCAATCGCAGGATAAACACAGGCTCAAGCAATCTATAAATAACCTGCCATCCAACAATTTTATTTGATAGAAGCCATATCTGACATATTTATAGGTCAGATATGGTACGCCTCACCGGTCATAACAACCGATTCTATGGTATTGGCCCATGAATATCCCAACATACAATGAGACCACGGAAGATTGTCATACGGCGATCATAGCCCCACTTCAACAATTGTGTGCCCTATTGCATAATATTGATAGATTTGTGATTTCTTTATCTATCAAATTTTAGCTTTTCATACCATTCTTTAGTTAATTTATACCTTAATGAAATATTAACCAGTTGAAAAACAGCAAAAAATCTTAGTCTTGTAACCGACAACAATTATTGTTTTAAAGTTTTCTGGAGATTGTAGTAATCTCAATAGTTGAGATCATGAGTCATTTGAAGCTAGACCACCATGAAAAATATGGAAGCACTGGATGGCTCTTTCGTTCTATTGTGTGACTCCTCCTTTTGATATTAATCAACATATGCTCACTAGTGACTGGCTTCAAGAAGTATTTCCTGTAGTTCTAGTCAGGAGCAGGGACTTATGGAGTTCAACCGGTTAGATGGTGGTTAGAGGTAGTCGACATGAAACCCTGGACCCGGGTTTCGTGCTACTTGGCACTCGTCAGCAAGGTGTACCTGTTATCTCGAGAGAACTGGTGCTCCCTGACGGATTCGATCTGCACTAATAAGGACTAGACATGCATGATATTGATCGCCACTCAGTGATCAGTCAATTGTGATTACATCTCAGTCCTACAGGAGGTTAGTCATGGCTCGGATAGCTCAGTGGTAACGTCTCTGACTGTGAAGCTGGGTGACACGAGATCGAATCCGCCAGGGAGCACCAGTTCCCTCAAGATTACAGGTACACCTTGCTGACGAGTGCCAAGTAGCACGAAACTCGGGTCCAGGGTTTCCTGTTGACTACCTCCAACTACCATCTAAGTATCAATACATAGTGCCCGCAGTGTCGAGTCACCTAGACTGGTGGCCACATTGCAACATGATCGATAGCATTCGATCTGCACTAATAAGGACTAGACAAGCATGACATTGATCGCTACCCAGTGATCAATCAATTGGGAGTTCAACCGAGTCTGTTGTGAGATAGCAACTCACTGATGAAAATGGTGGATGTGTCACTCAATTTCGTGGATTGTTTGAAGTTAACACATTAACACCGTTGGATGCCAGCTCAGTAGTCTAGAGGTTAAGCGTTTGCATGCGAGACTGATAGGTCCTGTGTTTGAATCTCGCGAGGCAGAATCATGTATGGGCATTGCTGAGGAGTTCCATAATAAGACGAAACGGCCGTCTTATGCTTCCAAGTTTTCCATGGTGGTCTAGCTTCAACTGACACATGATCTCAACTATTAAATTGTTCTGCTATAAATTGTTTAGTTTCCCTCGATTAAAAATTTTTTTTTATTTTGAGTTTCATCACATTTCCTTCAATTGTCATTTTTCTGATTAACGGTGTGTGTATGTATCTTTGTGCATGTCCATTTGTTTTTGCATCCATTTATCTATTTCTATGAGATGTACATAGTCGATAGATTAAAATACTGTAGAGGTATATTGGTTACTAAACTAAAGAACATGCCATTTCCTCCCCTCAGCCCCCTCCTCTCCAAAAAAATGTGATAAATTGATCGGTAGATTTATATTTTAAGATAAAAGATATTGTCATAGAAATTATATAAACACACAATATAGAAATCATAATCATAAATAAATAATTACAAGACTGAAATAGAAAGATTAAATACTGGACTACATAGAAGATAGACAATGAATAGTTTATAATGTGACTTCTAAAGAAAACTAATATATATAGAAGGTGACTTTGAAGTTCAATTGTTAGATAATGTTAAAACATTACTGTAAAGTATATTATAGAAGAACCAACAACAAGGTCGGAATTCTCAATACAAATATCAAGACAGTTCTATTGTATGGAGTGGAAACTTGGAGCGCTACGAAATCCATCATTCAGAAGATACAAGTGTTTATTAACAGTTGTCTACACAAAATACTTCACAGCGATTTGTCACACACTATCAGCAACAACCTACTATGAGAGAGAACAAAGCAGATTTCAGTGGAGGAAGATATCAGGAAGAAGCGTTGGACGGGGATAGGACACACATTGAATCTGATGGTTTTGTAGATAATATTGAATATTCAATCGTCGATAGATAGTGACAATTAATTCGAAATGGATAAGAAATCATTATACAGTGACTCCATATTTTGAACTGATCATCATGTAATAGAAGCCACTTTTTGATTATGGAAATTCTGAATAAAAGTTTAGTAATTCTTTTTTGTTTTGTTTCCAATCCTTCAAAATGACCATCAAAGATCCTCAATGTTTAGTCACTGATAACTGTGATTTCTTATATATTTTTGTTTAATGTTATACTAGTCTCACTATTCAGTTATACCCACTGAAGACAATGGAAGTTGTTCGTGCAGTCTCATGGATTGATTGAAATTGGACATTAACATCATTGGATACGATCTAGAGATTAAGTATTTGCTTACGAGATCAAAGGTGCTGAATTCGACTCCTATACTAGAATGAAACGGCACTCTATTACTTTCAGGTTTCTGATGGTTAAGTAATAAAAAAACATTTAAATTTTATACTGATATCTCCTTTAAAAATCAAAATCAAATTTACTTACTTGATTAGCATCAAGACCCCAAAACTCAAGTTCTTCTTCAAATAATGGTCCGCATACATCTGTAGGATAATGTAATTTACCGGTACGATAATAATTCAATATTTGATTGAAAACACCTGGATGACGATCAAAAAAATATTCATTTAATATGGGATCATAATTTGCTACTGCTTCAGTTAATTTTGATAATCGTGTTGCAGGTATCTTCTTCAATGTGGCTTTGTATGTTTCATGTCTTATACCGCCAACATTTAAAATGACACGATTTTCAGAATCCATTAATATTTGAAATTTATCAATGTAAGTAACTAATATTGATTGTAGTTTCTCATTCACTGTTTGATGAAATTATGAATGTTGATCTCCTGCAAAGAAAAGAAGTTAATTAAAATGGTAAAATCATTTGTAAGCAATGCTAGTGGCTAGCAGTGGAATCCAGGACGCGCGTTTCATCCTATTTGGGACTCGTAAGTTGGATATACCTGAATCTCAGAGTTGGTGTTCACTCTGGGACTCGAGCCCAGTACCATTCGCTTCAAACACCATCGCGTTATTCACATAGCTACTGAGTTCTGATAGCCAGTTGCTTGTGCAATGTAGTAAATTTAAATTCACCAGAGTGAACATCAACTCTGAGATGCAGGTATATCCAACTGACGAGTCCCCAAACAGAACGAAACGCGCGTCCTGGAAATCACTGCTAGCCACTATTGATCATTGTTTACAAAAAGCTTGTGAATTAAGGCAATATCGAGGCATACGCACAGCATGCACATATGCCGATAACAGACTGATCAATTGCAGTCTTAAACCTCAATGGGAAGATACAAGGCAAATAATACCAAGTGAAGATCAAATCATTTATTCTATGAAAATAAACTAGTTAGGAATAAGAACAGAATCTGTATTCAGCATCTAAAAATGCCTATACCATCCAGAAATTCAAACGTGTTTCAAATAGCCCTTTTTTGAAACAATAGCGGTGAGACTATAATTTATGAACGACCTTTGAGCGACGCTAGACTAACTTTGAGAGTGTCCACTTAATAACCAAGACCAAATGAAGGTTATAAACCGGTGTAAAGAATTAGAACTATGATTGACAGTTGATGATTAAGCTTAGGAATTAGATTTCGGGTTTTCATCATGAACTGACTTCACCTATAATGCTAAAACTCTATTTATCCAAATGGATAGTTTCGCCACAGTAGCTTTAAAAGGTGAACAACAGAACATTTTCTGTAACCCAGATCATCAATATTTAGAACTGAAAGTTTATGCTTCATCAGAAAATTCAAACAAAATGTAAATTGATGTGTTACATTTATCTGAGTTTTCAATGGAAAGGTGAGTGAAGGTGGGAAATTTAAATCCTTTCAATCTCATGAAACCTGCTTGTTTGATTGATATAGTGCTCATTTCTCAAAGTTAGAGTATCATTAACTCAGCCTGTAGCTCTTCTAGTGTTACTGCTGCTCGCAAGCTCATACACAGGAGGAGGGTGGGGCATGGAGTCAACAATCTCATCCTGTATAAAACAACTTTGGTAAAACAAAAACACTAACCAGAGTATTATTACGGTTAGAACAATCAAATTGCCCACTTTGTTGTGAAAATATTAAAAAAATGGTGGTTTAGCTTCAACTGACTCATGATTTAAATGTGTGAAAATTTTTAAAAATTTCCACAAACCCCTTCTGATAATAATCATCTGCTCACTATTGACTGACTTCAAGAAATACTCCTCGAGTTCTAGTGGGAAGCCGTTACCAGTGGAGTACAACCAGGTCTGTTGTGAGATATCAGCTCACTGAAGACAATGGTATATGGTGGCGCAACTTCGTGGATTGGTTGAAGTTAGACATTAACACCGTTGGATGCCGGCTCAGTGGTCTAATGGTTAAGTGCTCGCGCACGAAGCCAGTAGGTCCTGCGTTCGAGCCCCGCGTGGTGCGGGATCGTGGATGCGCACTGCTGAGGAGTCCCATACTAGGACGAAACGGCCTTTCAGTGCTTCCAGGTTTTCAATGATGGTCTAGCTTCAACTGACTCATGATTTCAACCTGTGAAATTTCTAAAACTCTCCACAAAGCCAATTTTGATAAAAAAAAATATCTTGAGGGGAACTTCGTTTAGTTAAATCTTTATAACAATGTAGATGTAATGTTTGTGATACTATGAACGATCGTAAATTATCATTTTATTATAATGTATAGCTTGTAATCTCGGTTGCTATGTTAACCCCATAGAACTTATTCTAGTTTCTGGACAGGCCAATTTATCCATTCATCTTGAGTCATGTTTTGACCTTATTGATTATTCACTGACTTTTTATATGAGCGTATATATGTGTATACATTGTATCCTATTCATCACATGTCTATAACTTATTTGGTATGACTATGGGTATTGATTAACGCTTGATTAAATGGAGTTAGTTAGCACACATTCCCCCATTGTGTATCGTTTCGCTTCACTTCTCTCTCTTCTATTCTCTTTATCCCTTTCATTTCCTGTCCAGATCAATGAGAAGACAAAATATATGTATTCAAAAATGCATTCACGTATTTGTCTTATTTAATTCCGTCATTCACCAACCTGAGTGAAGTAGAGGATTAACGATATTGTATATTTCGATAGCAATCATTCAATAATGATCAACATATGATCTAGTTGGAATCAGATTCTGGGTCACTAAAGCGTTTTTTACTTGTAAGTGTATTCTTAATAGATTATACATATTTTGATTACAAGAGAAGAGAAATAATAATGCTTAAAAATAATAAACCAGTATTCAGAAGTTACTTTTAGAGGGGGGGATGTTACACTCTCAGAGAATACAACATCTCCAACATCAATATCCTGAACTGAAAAATATTCTCCAATACTTCAGATTGTTTTTAGTATGAAGGAAAGTAATTATTTTATTCGTTTAAAGATCCTCTATTATTTTCAAAAGATTAATCTATAAGTGGAGATTATTCTTTTCGATTAATTCTCTTCAAGTTCTACAATTCAACATATTCAATTTAATGATCTGAAAATTGGTCAAGTTTAAGGCAAAGCGCATCGTTTTAAGTTTAAGCATGTGAACTGTAGGATGATTAAACAAAATAGAATAATGTCAATGATTGAAGTTAGACTACCATTGAAAGCATGGGAGCACTGAATGGCGGTTTTGTCCTATTTTAGGACTCTTCAGAATAAAATTGTTCATGTTGATATGACTTAAATGGAATGTTCACTTGAATCTGTATATATATGAAGTGAGATTGTTAAGATTCATGATCTGATTAAATATGGATCAGATAGAATGAGAGAAATAATAGTGCAATTACAATTCAATCAAATAGTTACTGGAAGATCATATTATGTGAAAAATTAGTAAGCGTGGCTAAGCAAAGAATTGGTGAAGAAAATGAACAGCTCAATATTGTCCCATTTAGTACAAACTGGTCATAGTGCCAGTATAAACTAACCGTTTTCATTTATTTATAGGGTCAGTAATTTTTTGTCAAATCTTGTCAAACTTAAAGTCCTTCAAACGGTAGAAGTAGTAGCCAGTCGGATGAAGAAACTGGAGCTATACGTACAGAAGAAATATTTTGAACCGCTTCTCCTCCCTTGGCCAACTTCAAGGCTGACTAACCAATAGTAATGTTAGCCATTGAATAACCTAACTTGACTATTGTACTTACGACCTTTCGTAGTCCAATATAATTGTCTATGTTATCTTTATTCACAAATCTTTGTAATGTTATTAGTATTATTATTGATGGTTAAACATCATTAATAATCCTTCCAATACATGATTCATTCACTTCGCACTCATTCCACTTTATTATGTCTAACTAATCATTTTTCACACAATATAATCTTCTATTAAATATTTGATCGAATTGTAATTGCACTATTATTTCTCTGATCCTATCTGATCCATATTTATTCAGATTATGGATCTTAACAATTTTACTGAACATATAAGCTGAGTTATATTAACATTGACAATTTTGTTCTGAGAAGTCCCACAATTGGACGAAATGGCCATCAAGTGCTTCCAGCTTTTCTACGGTGTCTCATGATCTCAACTATTGACATTATTCTATTTTGTTTAACAATCCTACAATTTCTATGCTATAACTTTAAACGGTGTACTTTACCCTTAACCTGACCATTCATCAGACTATCAATATGGATATATTGAATTGTAGAACCTGAAGAGGATTTATCGAAAACAATATTCTTTATTCCATATTATTATTTTACTCATTACACTAATGCTTTACGTATTACCTTTAAAGAAATAATTTCATAAACACTTTGATCCCTTGTATCCACAAGACATACATACATACATACATATATCATGTCATTGTGTGTGTGTGTGAAGAACCATTCTGAACGAATTGGCACCAGATACAGTTCACCTTATTTGAAACATTTCATTGGGTCCAGTTCAAATAATTAAAGTCATTTATGTTCTTCTTCTTCTTCTTCTCTTTATTATTATTATTATTATTATTATTATTATTATTGAGTATTAGGTAAACCACAATAATTGATTAGTATAAAAACGTCTACATATCTGGGCAACATCATCGATGAACACGGTGGATGTGATGTAGATGTGAAGGCGCTAATCAACAAAGCAAGAGCAGCATATCTACCATTGAACAACAAATGGAACTCAAAACAACTATCCACAAGCCAGAACCAATGTCAGAATCTTCAGTGCAAATGTCAAGACAGTTCTACTGAATGGGGTGGAAATTTCGAAAACTACGAAAGCCATCATTCAGAAGATAAAGGTGTTTATTAACAGTTGTCGACAAAAAATACCTCACATCCATTGGTCAAACAATATCAGTAACAACCTACTATGGGAGAGAACAAACCAGATTTTAGTGGAGGAAGAAATGAGGAAGAAGTGCTGTGAGTGGATAAGACACAATGAGGAAGGCACCCGACTGTGTCACAATTTAAGCCCTTACTTATAATCTCGAATGCGAAAGGGGGTGAAGAGAAAGACTAGAGAAGAAATTACTTCGAGAAATGGAGAACGACATGAGAAGAATGAACAGAAATTAGATAGAACTGCAAAGGAAGGCCGAGTACAGAGTAGGTTGTAGTATGCTAGTCTATAACCTATTCTCCAATGTTGCTAACAGGCGTAAGTAATAAAAATATTCTTAATAATGAAAAAAAAAGCTACTTCTATCTTGTTGGATAATTTGAAGAAAAAGAAGAAAAAAAAGAAGTAAAATTCGATAAAATATAAA